GGTAAATGTCAAACAGGGCTTCTGTATTTTAGCTTAGATTTCGTCTGCAACCACCCTGTTCGGGTTGATGTAAATGAAGTGGTCGACACATTCCATCACTTCACTCCCTATCATTAAACCAAGAGTACTTCCAGCAGACCAGTCCTAGGGCATCATCTTACATTTGACAGGTGCGAAACACGTGCTAGCTAAACATACTCAAATTTCTGCTCAAAGTGTTCAGAAGACCCTACATTTTGTCAGCGTCTTCACCCACCCAGTTGTATGGATATTACAAGTCAACTATATGATCTCCAGGGAGTAGGTCAATCAATTCCTGGGAAGTCAGAAGTACCTAGTGTTATGTCCATTAGTACCTTTATAATGAAGTTAAATAGGTAATATAGGAGTAAAACTTGGTTACTGTGGTTGATTGTAGTCCCATTTTAGTCTGTTTATTAGAAATATCACACAATGAAACAGTATCATTTGATGGATAACATTTCAGACACAATTTATTGTCCACATTCATATCAGGTAACTTCACAACTTCGAGAAAAAGTTTATATATTTCTCATTTTCTCTCCTCTGTGATGACAAGGATAGTAGAATTTTCCACATATCTGAGACAGGTGCAGAATCATTTCGATTGCATGTATTTGGTGTTGATTCGATAAACAAAGATTCAGTTATCAATCTCTCCCTCTACCCAACTTAGTTTTCAACACTGTCGCTCTACCTCACCCTACTGTGTGATTGTGTGTAGTTGCGTGCAGAGCTACAGCCAAACTTTTCCCTAAATTTCTTATCCTATTAGGATCCCCTAATCTTGATTTAGCTGAGCTTTTGTGATCTGTTATTCCAATTGACCCTGGTCGACTACTTTGACCTACGTATTTGACCTCGCAATTATTGCAGGAGACTTGGTAAACTAGATCATTTTGCAGAATTGCATCGATAGGACCTTTTAACCTACAAAGCTTGTTTCTAAGAGAGCTTGTTGGTTTGAAAGCTGCTTTAATCCCGACCTTATTGAGAATTCTTCGTAATGCTTCTGAGGTGCCTTTCTTGTATGGTAACACATCAGAGGTTTTGAGTTCTCTCTCAACCCTGTCACCATTATAACCATGAGTAGTAGGATTATTAGTAATAGCACGTGTTACTACCACTACTACTACCAGTGCTAATATTTTTCTTTCGATTTCTTATGAATTTGTTGATAAATTTTGGTGGGTAATTATTGAGATGCAAGGTATTCTTGATGTCTAATTTCTTGTCGTAGATTTTCCGGTCTACTAGTAAGCTTTTTCGCCCTATCACTTAGGCATTTAATTAAGTCTACTTTAACTGAAATGGAGTGGGAGGATTAGAAGTCTAAGTAGTGATTCGAATCGGTAGGTTCCCTATAGACACTAGTCTCTAAACTTCCATCTTGTGTTCGTTTAATCTTGCAATACAACATTGTTAGCTCACCTTCATCAATTTCTAAGTCACAGGTACATTGGATTGCACTCACTACTGAGTTTATGTGCCAAGAACCTACTGACGTCTTCCGATTTCAGTACTGTAAACGCATCATCTACATATCGGAACCATATCTTTGGAGTAGGACTAAATGTTTGAAGGGCCATCTGTTCCCAACTATCCATAAATATGTCTGCGACGATAGGGGGAATCGGTAATCGCATGGCAATGGAACGGTGAAAGTGGATATCCCTGGCAAACACCAATGGTTGTCGTCAGTTCACATGACAACTCCAAACGGCTGTAAGAGTCCCAGTAGAGAGCTTCGATTAGCGTTATATACTTGTACGGTATTACCTTCAGTCAAACACTACCACAACACCATATGGTCGACAGAATCAAATTCTGCCTTCAGGTCAATAAATATGGCAAGTTTCAGTCAGTGGAAGTATGGCTGTTTTCTAGAACCTGGCGGTGGGTAAAAATATGATCGATGCACTTTTTTATAAATTCAGTCTCCACTTTTATATATTAACAGTAACTCAATATAGCCTGATTTGTGTATATGTGTATACCTGTACGAAAACCTTAAAACACCACCCTTAATAGTCGCTCAATCCCTCCGGAATGGAAAAAGGTGGTGATATGACAGAAGGCGTATTTACGACATCAACGGCAACGTCAACAAAATATACAAAATACAAAGTATATACATATATATACATTAGTGGTCTTGGCTATTTCCAGGCCTACTAGATTTAAATTCGATTGATTTTTCATCTCTTCGACTAACCTGATACTTACACGTTAGTTCACGTGCTTTTTTCCGACACTTCGAAGCAAAGCGACTGGCCGAAAAAACCTTTAGGAATAGGCGGCTTCTTATGAAGAATTTATCAATTTTTCTGCACACTGAAGCCCTATGTTCCATTAGGAACCAAAGGGACAAGTAATAAAATAATAAATATCATACCCAGCCATCAGGTATATTAGAAACCTGTCTGGTTTTCTTGAGCTTGCTATTCTCAGGTTCCAGTTAGGTATCGGATAGCTGTGGACCCTAGGATCTTGGACACAATATTAGCCAAACTATTTCCCCTATAGCTGTCACAAGACATCTCTCCTTATAGACTGGAATGAACAGTAAAGTACACTAGTTTCACAGCACTACCACTAATTCCTATACACTACCCAGTACCTCCGTCACTTCAACCAGCGATTTTCTACCTTCATTCTTGAAAACTTCAGGTGGCAAACTGTCAGGCCCTCCTGCTTCCCATAGTTCCAGGTTCGATACAGCCTTCCCAACTTCAAGGACAGTTGGAGGGTCGACATCTACGTAGCACTCACGTTCAGGCTGGATGTCGGGCAACTGAAGCGATGCTGAGGGCTAGTTACACCGTGCTCTAAATCGTTTCGCCCAACGTTCTAGCCGCTTATCCTGTGAGTTTATCAGCGTTCCATCTTTTTTGATGGTCTCGCTAGCCCTCGTCTTCTTCTTGCCGGTACCCTTAATAAGTCTAAATAACTGCCGAGTGCTACTCAACCCTAATGCTTTACCCATCTCTCTTGCTTTTGCCACTCACCGCTGCTTGCGATCGATGCGAAGACTCTTGATCATCTTACGTTCGCTTCTCATCGTGATCACAGTCAGGTGGAATCAGTTTTCTCGCACCAATCAGTTCAGATGATGTCACGGAAATCCAGTGACGTTTGCTAATCTTTGGGTGGAGGTCAACAACTGTTTTTACAGCTGTTTCTGAAACGGACCCAATATCACACCAGATTTCCTGAGGACGAGCATTTCCGCTTAGCTAACTCCTCTCTGAATGCGTATTTGGCGTCCTGATTTTCTAATCGAGCACAGATAGGTCTCTCTGCTTTGTTTCCTGCGCCTAGTAAGGTGCAGAAATACACGAGCCCGTACTAGCACGTGATCGGAATTCAAACTGGTACTCCAGAAAGAGCGGTAATTCTCTAACAATCCTCTCTAACGATGGCTTACAGCAATGTGATGTGTTCATCGTTGGTTTGAAGTCGGGGAACGCCATGGGAGACAGGGTCTCTCCACATGCCAGAAGTTAAAGCTGGTCAGAAACAAGTGATTCTTCGAACAAAACTGTAGGAGACGATCACTGTTGTCGGTTCGTTGACATGGGATTCCGTAAATAGTGTGGCAACTCGGACCGTTACGCAGTAATGCCTGGTCCTATGTTGATAATGATGATGATGATGATTCCGTAAATACCTCCCAGATGCCTTTTGGTTGGCTATTCATAGAATTCATCCATGCATCATCCGAGCTCCAGTTAGTGGGTGAGTAGGTGGAAGTTACGATTTAAGTATAGTCCGTTTCACATTCTCTCCCGAGGAACGGATATTTAAAAAGTTTCATTTTTTTGTATTGCGAAGTACTGTCTAAAAGGCTGCCACTATAATTATCTCCATTTCCCATGCCTTAAGGAGCATCAGTAAAGAGTTTTGGCAGGGCGCTGCATGCGATAAGTATGTTGTCAACATATCTGCCATAAGATGCTATTTTTTCAATTGCATGTTAAAGCTTTATCCTCTTAAAACCAACTATTAAGACACATTTTAGCATCGAGCTCAATGAATTGTTAATTGCTACTCCACCAATCTGGCATTGTACCACGATGTTGAACCAAAGCAGTTTACCTTTAGCATCTATTCATAGCAAACATTTGAGTCCCGAAATTGACAGTATGAGGTCAGAATGCTGCCAGATGGTATCAACAGTCTCAGGAATATGAATGTTTATGAACAAAGAGGTTACATCAAGGGATGATATAAACTTACTGTAGATATCAATGTAATCTACTTCTTCAATAAACTGTAGTAAATCTATCAGTCTATGCAGTTAGTTGTCGATAGATAAGTTTTAACTTTTCTGCAAACCAACAAGCGACCTTGTGGTAAGGTGAGCTATTGACAGTATCGAATTCAGGCAAACATTTTACTTACGCATCTTTGATAAACCACACATGTACAGCATGTGAGACCCTCAATGTTTCAAATCTCTACATATGGGGTTATCAATCAACTTCCTTTTCGAGAGCTTTCAAACCACATTTGTGAGTCATCTTACCCATGAATCAATTTCATTTTTGTTGTAGTTTTTTAGTCTACGATCAGATAAAAGCTCAGGTGTTATGCTGATGAATAAAGAGGATCCCAATACAAAGATAAGGTCGATTATGGACAACCTTTTGAAGCTGTAATTAGAATGCTTAAACCAACGAACCATAAGAAGAGCTATCACTCAGTGAATATAAATCCCGATCACTTTTTATCCTTAATGGCCTTGTTACTCAGTACCAGGTTTCTTCAAACAATCTAACGTTGTTCTGGGTACGTCCAAATAAAGACATAATAAGAGACGACAAAAGTACTGACGGGTGGAACTAAAGAATCTGCATTCATGATCATTTTTATGAAGCTGTCAATGATATTTGCTATTTTTAACAGCAATGATTTACCCAGTCAAAAAGACTACAAATAAACCACAATACAACAAAATTTAAAGTGATACTAATTACCTCAATTGTGTTTACTCCTTCAACATTTAAATGAAGTAACGTAGGCGGAAGATTATTTGCTAGGATAACTGTCGCTCGTTCACTCAAAGCACTAAATCCTATATCAAGACAAGTCAGCATGGGACAAAGCTTAATAGCATCGGCAAGAACAGACTCAGCATGTTCAAGTGCTGAGCAACGCAGAACTCGAAGCATTGGTCGGCTTGAAACAGCTCTGACAATTAATTCCGATGGTATCTGACGGCGTAAGGCTAGGCGAGTTCGAAGAAGAGGAGTGTGAGATACATTATACCATAGTTGACAGACGGCTGGAACATTGTGTAGTAAGTCAGAAACTGGCAAATGTTTAAAAATTTCAATCAGTATGTCGAAAGGGAGACTATGAATGGAAGCATTAGATCCTGTAACATATTTGTTCGCAGGTGGTAAAGAAAAGACCATGCTTGAACATCTGGCTGAGAGAATACCGGTATCTTTATCCAATGGACTTGAGGAATCTGCATTATTTGCTGCGTATACTTCATTAGCTGATTCTTGAGGAGGAGGAACTTGGTTCATAGACCTGAAAAATGGGCTGGATTTGAAAACGAAACCAATCAAAACCACGGATTTACTTTTGCTTCATATACGTTCCTAGATAACCCACAAATTAATATGGACTTCTGAGAACTATGTAATTCTGCTGATGTGCAGTTACCTCGTACGACAATGAGCTACTGATGCGTTTGCTGACGATCTGAATAAAAAGTTATTTGTCAAACCTAGTACATATATTGGATTCATTAAAAGTAACGCAACTCCACCCAGTATATATTTAAGCACTAGAGCTACATTTGTTGCTCGAGGACTTATTTAGTAAGTGGTTTCCATGGCCTAAGTGGTGGCAGCTGAGTTCAAGCTACGATCTACTTCTCGGTAGTAAAGTTCCTATGCCCATAAGCTGCATCTCCCCCTCACGTGTGCTCTAAATGTTTATGGTTAATAATGCGAGGATTCAGAAAATATTGCAGTGAGGCAATATTTATGCAAAAGGGCTTAGGTAACCACTTATATTTAGCTTGTACGAATATCAGCGAATGACTTACATAGTGTCCACCAGATAATCATGACGTGATAAATAGATCCAAAAGAGAGCAGACAAAAAAGATATCATGGTACATGGCTAAAATGACAGGAAAGTGCAGCAGCTCCCTACTTTTACAATTCTTCTACACAGTTGCCACTAGACTAATCTTTAAACTCACTTCTCTAGATTTGCTACTGCTACACGCTGAACAATGCGAATCAACTTGATGGTGGGAAACAGGATTTAATCATCTGTTGCGTATTTACTAGAATTTTAACAACAAATACAACTTAAAAACTACTTTATTTAATTGTTAGTGCACGCGTTGTAATTTTCACGTCACATAAATGACGCATATCCCAGCCAGCATTAGCTTCGGGCGAGCATTTTACTTCGGGCACATATCGGGAGACGCACGATATCCCCCGAAAGTGTCAAAAGTCACGAAGTGCGTTCTAAGTTTCTGCAATGCGCCCAAAGTACCCAAAGTATCTGTAGTGCACCCGAAGATTTGTAATAACCCATATCCCAAGTGATGAGAAGGCCTAGTCCGTAATATTTTTATCTGAATATATGACGTTTGTGTGCTACATGTGTTTATGCGATAGAAGTCAATGAAATGCTAGCGGCCAAGTAAAATATTTGTGCGCCCGAAGTAGCTTCGGGTTAAACCTGAAAGTTTCAAAGAGCTCCCAAAGTGAATGCTGGCTGGGATTTCACTTCCAATCCATTCCTCTTAACTAGAAGCCCCATAATAGTTCTCCTAACATAAAGGAAACTTGAAAAGCGTAGATTATTTGTCATGTAAATGAGATAAATAAGCTACAGTGAGTGGCTCAAAACAAAATACAGATCAGTTTCTGAAAAGTAACTTTAGGACCACTACGTGAAGCCACTCAGGTGAAAAGTCTAGTTGAACTGCTGTCATTTAAATACAAAATTAGCACTATTCCCTGGAACTTACTTGGAATGAACTGCGCTACATTGCATGAAAACGTGTCGCAATAAAGTTACAACCCCCGTCAAGGTCATTGAGCATCATCCAACAACATCCAACACCAATAGTGAGAGTATGGGGAACTTGTAATTTTTAAGCTCTCACTTCTAGGTCTTGAGGTTCGGTTCTTTTTGTTCCGTTGCACTGCTTCGGTGGTCGTGGAAGACTTGGCGTTTTTCCTGCTAATGGCTTTCGGGGTAGTGATTGTCTATCTGAAGGTATTTTCCTTGCAAATAGTAGCTCGTTTTGTTTTGGCAGGGGCAATGGAGCCGCTGAGAAAATCAATTAACCTTTTGCAACTCATGTTTTTCTAAGCACCTGTAAGTAAGTATTAAGTGCTATGTAGCGTCACACGTTTCTCCAGAATCAATAGCCTAGGGTTCAACGAGATCCAACACTGATGCTGATATTCATAGTTTAACTGGACTCACCAGGCTTAAGCCTCACAGTCAAGCATCCTCGCCATTTGGCACTCTGTCGTGTTACGTTGCGCTGCTCGGAATCGACCCTCAATCCAGTTAGTTGGAACGCATCGGTATCTTGACACGACGTCGCAAATGTAATATTCCATCCGGCTGCGCTGTTGTGTTCTCTCTTGCTCTCGTGTTCGTGGATATATAAGAAGTTTGACTAAATGGTGATTGGCCTCTACATCTGTCAAGTTCATACCAGGACAATTCCTAAAATTACTTAAAAAGTGCTGGAAATAGGGTGTGGGGAATGAAAAAAAGAGGAGTGAAAAGTACTTGTGGAAAGATAAGTGTTAGTGATAATAATATCGAGAAGGAATGCGCCTTATTGCAGATATTAGGGTGAGGGAATGCGGGAGTGGAAGGGCATGTCATTAGTTGCTACAGGCAAATGTTCATGATAAGCCATTTGCGCTCACATGCTCATCCAACAGTCGTTTGAAACAGTCTATAGAACGTTCCATAAGACACATGTTCTGTGTAAGAAGAGGTTTGATCCCACTCTCGTCTTTCCCCTCTGACGGGGTATGAGGTTGGGGCTCCCACGAGACCATTGGTTTTGGACCGATAACTCTGCCTATTTGTCTGGTCTGTTTGGTGAGGGATCTTGTAGGCTGTTATCAGTTCACCTCGATTCCTTTGATGGCTTAATGTGAACAAGTCGGGTTATCTAAGGTGCTATGCATATGTTTTACTTGTTAATTCGACAACCGACCTCGTAGCTCTCCTCTTTACCTTCTCGAGAGCACGTGCGTCTCGATTCAGTATTCCGGGGATTACTGTATCATTGCATTTCTCCAGGTTGAAACTTAAATCGTTTGCCAGGACCAGGACTTTAGCTGCAACGGGTCGTTTTGGAGTGCCCTAGGCTGCTCCTTCTCACCTATTGTCCTCTACATTTTGATGTCGTCGTAGATAGGGGGATAGACGAGGAGAATTTAATGGGCAGGTCATTCATGAATAGTAAAAATAGGAGTGGTCCAAGGATCGCTCCTTCAGAAGCCCTTCTTCTTGCATCCCTAGAGGTTGATCGAATTCTGTTTAATTTTGCGGAGAATTCTCTGTCCTCTAGATATGCTGTAAACCATGCTATGAGCTGTTCAGAACTACCCAATTTCGCAGGTTTAGCAGGCATCATGCAGCGTGGGACGCCATCGAAAGCTTTGACCAAGTCCAGAAAGACCATGTGGACCGCTTGCTTGTTGTCTCTGTAGCGGTCCAGTCCTCCCAAACAATCATCAAGTTCGTGGCACATGATCATCCAGTTCTAAAGCCGCATTGGGTTGGATGAACGGTGTTGTTTCCGTTCAGGTAGTCCCAAACAACATCTGCAATCAGGTGTTCCAGTATCTTGTATAGTATGGAAAGTAATGCTACCGGTCCGTGATTGCACAAGTTTTTTCGATCTCCTCCTTTGAAGGTTGGTGAAAGGATAGTGCGTTTCCACTCTCTGAGTAGTTGACTTACCCCCAAGGAGTGCGTGGGCAGGTTGCATATGGCCATACCTAACACTTCGGCATAGCTGTGTAGGACCACTGGTCTCATGTCATCACAGCCCGAAGATTTCCTTGTTCTCACCGTTGAAAGTCTCTCAAACACTTGGTTCGACGAAGTCTCTACATCCATCGGCTTTGATTCGCAGCCCCGGAACTTCGTTACGTTACTAGATAATAATAATAACAACAATATTTATTACTGAATACACAAGCACACATCATTTTTACAGGTATAAATAAGTTTATACATAAACTACATGCATCCTCATGGAGTGGGCTGAGTTTCTCGTCAGATCAAACGCCCAACAGCTCCACTATCTCACTGCTATTCGACGGTTATCTGCCGGTTCAGTGATCGGGTTTAAACCCTTGTTCGTCGCTCCCCATTGTGGCATAAGCCTACATGGGCTTTTTGGATTGTAACTAAACTGTTTAGCCAGGTTCGTCTGGTGTGTGTACCTGTGATTACAAACTCTTACAATACACAAGCTACGTAACGCATTACAGCTAGGAAAGTCTGGTTATTTATGTGCTGTTTTTTCTCTTCCTTCTGTATTTGCATTTGAGCTGCGCGAGTTACCCAACACCGTTTGACAGGTGGTCGTCCGGCTAATCTCGGAACACTTTTTGATGGCACTTCAGATATCTTCGGAATATATCCAGTGTTCTTCTTTCAATAGCGAGTACCGTTCTTGTGACCATGTAGCCTCCAGGAATTCATTGTTCATGAGGGAGTATTCTGCCTTTCGGCTACAGTGGAAAGCTTCCAGCTCCATTATTAGTAGTTTCTCACTGGTTTTGAGGGAGGTTCTCACCAAGGCGTGGTCGCATTCGCCTATGGAGGGGACTTGGACACAGATATTGCCCACTAAAAGATCTTCCGCCGTTAACACGTAGCCAAGTGGCGATCCTTTTCCATCTGGTCCCCACCCGGTGCTTCCCCCAACTTCCTCTATCAATCTTGCCACCGTTCACGTGTCCGGTAGTTTACATTCGAGAGATTTATGTCCACATCTTATTTCACAGCCTAGGTTCAGTTCTGGTGTGTTAAAGTCCCCAGCCGGGACTACATAGTCATAGGCTACCAAGGTGGCTACTTAAATGGCGCTGAGCAGTTGTGCCTTATGCCCTGTTGTGCGTGCAGGAGGCCTGTATGCCACTCCTAATAAGGCGCTAAGCTTGGTTCATCGTCAAATGGCACCACAAGGAGTCTGGTAGTAAGCCAAACGCACTATCAGTTGCCTTCTTAACTTTTAGGTGAGTGCCAATGCACTCCCCCGCCTCCTTTGAACTACCTGCCCTTTAGAAACAAGGTCATGTTAGACAAACATATCTCCTATCCACGACGTCTGATAAGAGCCATATCTCCGTGATGAGAGTTATGTCCGCTTGCAGATTGTAGCACATTCTTCTAACTCCAGCAGTTTACTCCTGAAATCTCTTTCACCGCTATAGAAGCATATCAAGAGGCTACGTTCTGGGCTTAGTGTGACACGGGGACTTGTTTGGAGGCTGGTGGGCTGTTACATCAGATTCTGACCACAAGCCCCTGCCGGACTGGTAAACCTCCGTTTTCCGTTCCTCTTGGCATCCTGGCATTGATGTGGTGGTGTTGTTCATTGTTATATCCACAGGCAGCTCACTGGATAGTTCCTTTGTGACCAGTACCGTTTGTAGCATTCATGGAGACCACCTACCATCTTCCAGTCTGGCAGACAATGGTTTACCTTGGTGGCATCTTATAGCACCTCAGACTTGATCTTTTAAACGGTACGTGCTGTAAGGGCTTCTGTGAGTGATGCTTTACAGTCAAAGTGTACAGCTAGCGATCTTGGTGAGGAAACGCTATGCAGTTGCGTGGGTCCTGGTAAACTACTTATGCTGCTGGCAGGAAAATTCTCGGGTCACTTTTTTTCCCCCAGCCACTCCCACCGCTCGACATCATGAGGGTAATTATCGCACTTATTGAATCCACCCACCCCCAAATCTGATGTTGCGTTGTTTCCCTAAGGCCACAGGTGCGCCCTGACCTGGTTCTTGGCAAGAGAGCCCCTACCAATATCACACTTCCCAACGGCTTACAAAAGACACTGAGTGCCGTCTTAGCCTGCTGGTCATTTTTTGGACGGTCTTGCCACCAAAGAGATGTCCACGAAGGTCACTCACGAAGCAAAATCTCTCGGTAGTTACTGCTGATGTTCATTTGATAAGGGGCGCTGTTCTTGAGATTCTGGCTCAATCCAAAGTAGTTAGTTCACCGTCACGTATCTTGGCTCGCAGCCGCTGAGCAAAGAACCAAGTCTCATACGTGCTAGCCACTTACTGATTTTAAGACCAACTGGTTGATGCCACGAAGCGTAGTTTGAACCCATGCGCCTTCTTCTATGGTCCGTATCCGGCGAGACGACAGCTCAACTTCGGTGACTTGCCCTTTGGCTTTGAAGGAATTACATCACTTTGTTTTTCAGGCACCGCAAACTTCGCGGTCCATGTCGACCCCCTGGTTTGACGTGGGGTTTTTCTGCCGTAGTTTGGCAGTTAAGACATTAAAATCTTCCACTAACTTGATTTGGTCATCTCCCATAGCGGACTCTGCATAGCTTCCGCTCCATTTCGCCGCTTGACTTCTGCTCTGATCCGTCTAATCAGGAAACGCACCCAACCTAGTCTGGAATCGCTCTCAGCAAGATATTATGACGCCGTTCACATTCGAAATGATTGCTCACGCATATTACGCGTTGGAACGCACTAGCGTCAAACCCACAAACCACTCTTCCATGCGGTTCTTGGTCGTAGTAATTAGGAAACTTCCCGTTTTATCTGGTCTCTCACTACTATATGTTTAGGGCGATATAACAACCTATTCCATATTTTTAATTAACGGCCCCACTGTCCACCTCCGGTGGAGCGTTTCCATCCTTCAGTATACCGAATATAGCAGCCAGACGTTTATTCCTTCTGATTGCTTGACCTTGATCTGGGCGTACTTCAAAACGGAACGGTCTGAGGTTGAGGGTGCCAAAATTGACTCCTCTGGTGGGAATAAAAAAGACCTGTATCC